GGATAATGAACAAGAATCTGATTTTTATGAATTAAATATTCCAATAAAAGATCATTCATTTATGTGTGAAGATCGTATAACTGGATGAAATGTCATAAAATGAACACGAGCAGATGAATAAGATTCATAATCATCATAGATTCCACTGAATTCTCATATTAAATTTAACCGTATTAAAAATGTTTTTCATATAGAATCAATGATGAATTAGCTAAAGAAGTTATTGCACCTAAAGCAGAAATAAGATCTAAGAAATATGTGTGATTTAGCTTTCGTCTTTTTTTTTTGTATAAAATTATTTTCAAAATATCTCTGCACATTTTCAATATTGTATTCTATCTTTTTTTTCACAGTACTAATCTGTCAAGCAAACTTTTCTTTTTTTATCGTATATTTTTGAATTATGTTACAAGTAAAAAATAAATCGATGGATACTCGGTTTAAGATAATTTTATTTTTGAAAATCAACTTCTAAGGCATTTAATTTATTAACAAGTATAGTAAAATTGTCCGTTGGGCTTATCGCCCATTGGAACCAACCACTATTTGGATCCACGTGTGGTCTGATTCTCTCGTCTTTTTCTTTTCTTACAGACGATGGGATCTGTACTGCCCCGTCTAACGCTCCCCCATTTTTGGCCTTGCGATTAGACAAGTAGCCGTTAGTGACTTGTCCAGAGTCATTCCACAGCTGGTGATACTGAGGTTTGAACACAGTACATTGTGGATACGTGTAGATACCCTTCTTCCTAGTCAGAGACTAATCAATTCTATTTGTTTTCATGAAATTCTGTATTCACTTACATGTGAAATCAGTTATCAAAGAAGTTTTCAATGTTGAATATTAACTTTTTTAATAAAAATAATTTCTGTACAATTTGTATTGATGATGTCCTCAAGCTCTTTCATATTAAAACGAAGATTTCAATACCGATTTAGATTAGTTCTACATTGCGTTACGTTTCATCTTAATGTTGATATTCGTAAACGATGTTAAGTAAATATTTTAACTTCTTTTATCATTATTTTTAGTTTCAAACGATAAAAAACATCATCTAACATCGTTTTACTTTTTCTTCAATAATATATATGATTACATTTTCTTCGCATCTAACGATTTTTATTAGGATCTATCGTATTTTATCATTTGTACAACTAGCTTCTAGTATTTTTTCTACTTACTACTTATATAAATCGGAAAATGCAAGATGGTGGTATACACATGAATCATATTTTTATCGAATGACGAATAAAACATTAGGTGTATAAGATTTTGATATATTATTCGCTCTTTGATTTTTTTATTACTGATATTACAAAACAAATAAAAAATGAATATGAATAATTTATTCATATCTGTGACAATCGAAATATTATTCATATTTATCATGGCCAAGTGATTGGAAATGATGAACTTAAATTAATGACGAATAGCATTGGTAAATTTCTTTCAATGAACTATTTTTTATCGACTACTCTTGATTCTGCTCGGCTTATTCCTAAAATTGATAATCTTCAACGAATTATCTTTGAAATTGAAATTAATCCGCATTTAGAAACGAAAGTGTTTGCTGATGTTATTCAAACCAGTTATTTTCAAAAAGAAGATGAAGTATTGATTATGCTTGAAGCATTGTTTCGAATTGAAAAAGTTATTGAAGATAAAAAAGAACAAATAAACAGGTGTTTGCAAAAAAACTTGCACAACTTCTTCTACGGATATTATTTTGTATATAACTGTTTTTCGAATTCTTTTATAGTGTGGTGGATAGCCCACGACGAATACTACACGACACTATAATTTGATATTCGATCTGTTCACTTATAGAAGAAAAACAAGACGAACATCTCTTTTTCTCCGCCGCAAGAAAAAACATTATAATCGAAATTTTAACATTTTTGACTTTTTCATCTGAAAAATGTTGGAGTTCATCAATTGTATTTTTGATAGTTAATGACGAGTAATGTCAATTATCATAGTTCAATATTTTATTCGTTCACCTTTATCATCAATAAGAGACAAACATCTGTTTTTTCATCGACATTAGACAATTTTTTACAGTATGTGGTAAAACATTTCTATAGCCATAGTCGTGAAGATGACGACTTATTGTTGAAGTAGATACTGACTTTTGGCACTTTTTCGATAAATTCTCTTGTATTTCTTTATATCAGAAAGGAAAGAAATCACGCTTTTATATGCTCAATGTATAGTATATCTATCGATGATTCATCGGTAGAAAAATGAACTGTCTAACTGCTTCTAACGACTAGAAAAACGTTTAAAAGAGATATTGAATTTTGTGCAAGTTTTTTTGCAAACACCTGTAGATAGTTCGTGAGTCATTAACAAGTGAAGATGAATATGATTTGAAAGAAATATTTTCTTGCATGAAAAACACAATTGGTGATGATACTTATTTACATTCTCTACGGAAAATTTTACTTCAAATGAGTGAGCCCGAAAAAGTATGAAAATGCTATACATGAATGTTAGATAGATGTGGAATAGAGACCAATGAAGGAAAACTTTTTTGTTTTAAATTGGATCAACTCCTTATTTCATGTAAAGATTATAACCATTTTGTATTTGACAATGTATTTCTCATGTCACTGAAAAAACTAATCTGTTGTCTTATTGTATTAATGCAGGGTGTAACAACAACAGGAGCTGATATGGATCAATCAGCTGGATGAATTTGTCAATCATTTGAAGGTATTTATATTGTTTCAATTGAAATTGGAAATAGTTTTGATGATTCATTTTTATTATCAATTAATAAAAAAATTGAATTATTTTGTCAAACTGTATTATCGGATGTTAGACTTATCAAAAGAGCTTTAATATACGTAGTTGGTGTTTCTCAAGGAATTCGAGAAGCTCATCAACAGATTATTCATAAAGAATGTTTCACTACATTTGACGTGTTTGAGAATTTTCATCAAACAATAAATCATTCTTTATTGATTTGTTCATATCAATATAAATATTGTTTGATATTCTCGTGGTACATTTATTGAATATAAAATTATTTTCTATTTTCTTTTCTAAAATGTTTAGTAAAAGAATAGATTTTAGAAAAAAAAGGTCTACCCGTTCAAATAAGTCCTGTTTTGATTGTTATTCATCAAGTGTATATTTAATTTGTTTACAAATTCTTCTGAGATCGAACAATTTCAATGGTAAGATTCAGATTGACAAGAAGATTTCTTTTTGAATAGACTTCGACCTTGTTAAAGTATCGATATCAAACAAAACGATTTTCGAAAACATCGAAAAATAACCAATTGAAATAGTGAGATTTTGGACTGAATCCGATGGAAATAAATTGTATCTACGCATATGAATTTCATTTGTTCTTTATATTGATTTTATAAATTATTCAAATGAAGAGGCTATTTTTAAAAATATATTTTTCCAAGTTCGAGGTTCAGACTGAGGCGATGATCAATCAAAATCTAACATATCTGAAGAGAAGGAGAATCAAAAGATTCTATTTGTTATGCAACGTCGTTTGTAAATGATTGACAAGGTGTTTTTGATATTCCAAATTTACAAATGCTTCCAGAACAATTTTGTTAATTAGTTTCAAAATTTGTTGCTGGTTATTGGTGTGACTCTTATCAATTGTATATTTATTTTAAACAGTGTCATTTTCTTTCAGATATAAATAACGAAGGTGAACATTTCAATGAAATATATTGTTTAAATATGTTAAAATAAAATTCATTTGTAATTATATATACAGATATAGATGAAGATGTAACACTACCATAGTCAAGTTGGCTTATGAATTATAAATTTACTTGTCATACTAAATAATTAGAAATAAAAACAAGATAATATCCATATCAGCATTGACATAATATGCAAAGAATGACATTAAAACTAGAACTATGTAGTTATGCATACTTCATATTGAAATCGGAAAAAGTTAAAATTTGACTTCTAATTCAAATTCTTCACCTCGGAAAATCTATAGTCGATTTCGATAGAATCTCGAAATATCACTTTTGTATCTGAGAAACGTGGTTTCAATGTCAACCAATCAGAGCACTGACAAATCGCCCAACAACTTCCATTCTGCAAACTTATCCTTTCTGTATTGTAAATAGAAAAGTTTCTTTGAATATTTTAAATTCTGATCTATTCGAGTGAAATAATGATTTCTATTTTTGTTGTTATTGGATTAAAAGCAACAGTTATTGTTAACTTTCTTATGTTTGTTGTATAAACTCGTATTTTTCTTCTCTCGTCTTCTTATAAATACATCATATGATGAAACTACGTATGTTCTACTGCTTATTTGTTTGTTTAGTATCAATTTATATTTCTTATTTAAGAAAAATGCAAACATTATATTTTATTTTTTAGATTGTATGAAATTTTCACTTTACGAACATTTTGATAGATTTTGCTCACATTCACATAGGTTATGAGAACATTTTTTTAAATTTTCAGTGGAAACTTCGAGCCATCTAAAGTATTCAGGTACAAGCTTACAATGGAAATCTGAAACAAAATGTTTTTGGTGCACTATTTACTCGAGCACTTTATTTTCGTTAACAAAATGTATCAAAGTGTACAAAAATCAAGTTTGTCACAATCTAAAAAAGCAGAAAGTAATATGTATACTTTTTCTTTAATGACGAATATAAATTGATACTTCGCAAACAAACGGTAAACACATGAACAATTAATCATGTGATGCCGTATCTTGGGATGTGTGTCGATGAATGAACTTTTTGTTATCTCACATGCACATTCATACCTACACTGATACATCCTTGTATTAACAAATGATTAGCAACCTTCTGAAAGAAAAAAATGAATCTCAATTATAATTGAATAAGAAAAAACTGGAATAAGATATAGAGAACAAATGAAAAACAAGTGAAATAGAAGATACATTCTCTATCATAGAGAACGGTTGATACAAAAGCGTGTATCTGTCAATGTCTTTCTTCACGTGATTGATTCAGATATCAGTACAAATACACTACCATACGTTGCACTTATTGACTCGACTATTGCCTTGACCTGGCTTACAGCCAAACACGCGATCGAACTCAACAAAATTCGACGTAGGACCAAGTACTCTAAAGACAAAAATCATTTATGATAGTATAGAGAGATGTATGAAAAAGCTCTGCCTGAATTGAGAAGGTGAATGTGTATCAGTCAGCATATAAGAGTTCGCAACTTGGTCTGTCATTTTAATACACCATGTGTGACCAAAACTAATAAAGAACATTTGTTCTACTGAATATTTGGCTAGACCTGGTAGTTTCTTGTCAACATTTTTATGAGTTTTTGCCCACTGTTGATAGGCCTTAAAAATATATAGGATTAAAATTCAAATTAGTAAATAATAAAACTTGCAAAGAAAGCCTGTTTCAATGCAGCATTGTCAGCAATGTTTTCATTCAGTGTTCGTTCACCTTTCACCTGGATAAAAAAGAAAAGATTTAATTGTCTGAACAAACTCAAAATTAAAGAAAGACCTGACGATTGACTTGAGTCCAAGTATAATTGTCGTACTGTTCGATGATACATTTCTTGCGTTCGTGAAACGCTTTGATAGTCTCATTAGTCCACCCGGAAACTTTATGTCCATAGATGTCATATTCCCGACCGTGATCATCAAAGCCGTGTGCAATCTCATGTCCCATGATAACGCCAATGCCTAAAATCAATACAGTTTCTCTGTTTTTTTCTTCAAACTGTACCCATCCTTACTGCCATAATTGAGATACCTGTAAAGTACATACAGTATATATATATATATATATATTTTGATATGAGAAAATGACTTTTTACTTGGGTGCATCTTTGTCGAACAGTGGTGTTTGAAGAATAGCAGCTGGAAAAACTAAAGACAAACTAAGATAAAATATTTTATTGCCAAAAGACAATTTGTACTGATTTCATTCAATGTTAGTTTGTGTATGGCATTGATCTGTGTGGGTGTAATATCAATCCATTCCTTCCTATCGACCGGCTCACGAAGTGCTCGAAGACCTCTTTTCGAATGTAGTTGAATTAAACTCAAAACGTTTGGCATAAAAGATAAATTGAAGTTAAACTAGATTTGAAATACAAAAGAAAAATAAATGATGAAAAAAGAATAAATTATCATTCTATATTACACCTCAGCATAGTCTTTCTCAAGTTTCATCACATTATCATTCTTCAAATAATCAGGATAACCAATTTTTTCGTTGATAGCTCGAGCCTGTATAAAAAAATCGTTTTATTCTCAGTTTGAGATTGGTCCATTAAATATCCTACTTTATTAATCATCGCGACTTTTGATTGCAAATCCATCCACATCGATTGATTGATCATGTTGATGAAGATATTTCGAATATTATTGATCATTTCGAGTGCCTATCAAAGAGTGAGAGACAGACATTTAATATCAATGACTTATTGTTGTCAGTACTTCTTTCCGAGCATCCTGGTCAAAATATTGATTTATATAGATTTTAGAGACGGCCAAATCCATAGCGTGACTGACATGACTAGCACATATGACTGAACGTGGCCGTTCAGTACTGGTGCCTTGAAGTACATAGTTAAACTGTTGTGCAATGTCTCGAAAACGTTTTGGCATATTCCAAACTCGATTAACCATGAAACGCCATATCATATAATTCTGTATGATACGTGGTGATTGTCGATCAATAATTAACGTAATATCGCGCACAACTTTAGGCGCGAACACAGTTACAATGTCTGTATTGATGAGAGACACATTTCCGAACTGATACAGACGACGAAGATAAGTGGTAAAATCAGACTGAATAAAAACATGAAGAAAAAATAGTTGAAAATATGAGAAAGTTGACACTCACACTAATGTTGACTGTGCGCGAAAGGTTGCCGACTGTTGTGCGGATAGTATTGTTAAAAGATATTTTGTGTTCCTTCACATAGTACTGTTTAAAAGAAGTGAAACAGAACATATGTATGAGAAAATGGATTTACTTCTGCAATTTCTGTTTCAAACTCTATTAGAGCAATTGTATCATCATCGATTTTTGATGTATCATTGGTCAATGCTAGAGCCAAGTCGTTAAAGAACTGCCATTTAGCTTTTATTACTTCTATTCCTTTGGCATAGTAGATCAAATTTTGAACACCAATATTTGGACTTATCTGAAAGATGAACATTCATTATCAACGATTCTAACTATTGAATCTCACTTGAATGCTTCGAATCGACGAATTTTTTTCGTCGACAACTGTCTTTATTGTATATATTATGAAATTATTGTATTGACTTAATTTGAGCATTAGATGAGCAAAATCAAATGTTGATTCGTTCCATGTTGAACCTTGCAAAACAGGCCATCCACCGAGTTCTGTATTGATGAATGAGAGTATTACATTGACACCTTCGGCTTCGATAGCATTTTCATTGATACAAGAGGTATACAACCGACGAGCATTAGTAATTGCTTTCGACTCTATTGTTCCATTCGGTGGTGATGATGAAAGCAGATCTTTGAAAAACGAGAGAATAAAATAATACAGAGATAATGTACCGTACCAACAAGTGCGTTCTCCAACTTTGTCGACATTCTTGAATGAGAACGTTGTTCACCGTCTAAAATTGATAGAATATAGTATTCATTTGATTATTTAAAACTTACCATCAGATGGTATTCTCGTATTCTTAATCCATGTTCCACAAGCGAACTCATAAAAGTTTTCGCACGGATCGATTGTCTCATCAATACTTTCGAGTAGATAGTTTGCTAAAAAGATTGAAAAATCTTGACTGATGTGACAAAATATACTGACCTGCTTTGATGCAATATGGTGTTAAACACAAATCACTAGTGTCATTGACTGGAGTTATTATTCAATGAGAAATTATCATTCAATTATTTTGCCTCCATAGAATTCATTCGCACATACCTGTCGGTGTTGTTCGTGGATCTTTTGTATTGCTTCGTTCGATCTCATATAAAACGAGCAATATGATTATGGAAATTAGTAGTAGAACAATAATAATGCCAAACAATCGTGATATAGAACACTTCTTCGGTCGAGATGGCTGACTACAATGATGATAGACGAAATAATTGTGCCCGATATGTAACTATTGGATGGATATCCTATCAGCATCCACTTCAAAATCTCTATTATTCATTTTCTCATTCTGATTTTTCTCATCAAATCACATTCAACGTACCTTTGATGAAGAGGAATATACAAGGTGTCCGCTTCTAAATGACTTTGCATTGCTATTACTTTGATCCAATTAACGCACAAGTCTAGGTAGATATATATGATTTGATAGTTCTCTTCAACCTTTCTTTCTTCCATCGCTCATATGATATGATAAGGCCATCATTGTCAGTGATATTTGAAACGGAGGAAGAATTTCATTATATGAGGTCGTTGAAGTGAAATCAATTCTGCTCCCTATATTGCCAAACACCACTGACCGAAAAAAAAACAATTTATGACGAAACGGCACAGAACAAGAAAAACAAGAACATAATTAATCAATTTCCATGCGTAGAGGAAAGAGTGCTGACAATGGACCCGTCTATCATGTCAGACGATTTCCTTAACTATTTTGGTGTCAAATGATAGCTCTCAACGAGAAACTACCAAACTGAAAATATAAGCTGCCCGTGGCGCGCCTAGATCGAGATATTCAAATTTTAAGCTATTGAAAATTTAGACATATAATAACAACAGAATTTTTCGAATTCAGTTTTTCCGCAGCATTAACTATTTTTTTGAATAATGTTGCACAAATTTCGATATTTTCAGAAGGTTCAGTTACGTATGAATGGGATAAAATAAGCTTCTTGTAAGAATAGTAACTAGTACATAAGATGTCGCAATGAAATATATCGATGCTTTAATATTCGATATATCGATATTTTTTCTAAGATTGATTCAATGTTGTTGCAATCGAATGTGAGTTTCTAGAAACATATTTCCTAATCTTCTATAAAAATTATTGCTTTGAAAAGATAACATTAATCCGATAAAAGTATGAATCTAGTGAATATCGTAGAACATCTTCTTCATTTAACTAAAGCTGAATTC